CCAAATAACAGTGTTTTCTTGAACTCCACTGTTTGGGCTTTGGGTGTGACACTGTTTAGTGCAGTGGTTAAAGCTGGGCCACAGAGTTGGATAAACCTAGATATCAGTCCTGGTTCAGACTCTGATCAGCTGTGAAAAGTTGTTCTGCACCTCTTTGCCTCCCTAGGCCTCCTGTCCCTATCTGCCAAATGAATCAGCCTCTTTGGGGCAGTGTATGGATTTAAATTCCATGCAGGTAGATACTTACCACTTTGTCCAACACAACATTATTATGTCAGTCAGCTTTTGCCTTGTAATGAAGCACTTCCAAAATCCAGTGACTTTTCACAAGTCATTCTAGAATGGCCTCACGGAGTATCTGGCTGTTGGCAGGCTATCAGCTAAGGTGACAAAAGTGGCTGCACCGTGGCCTCTCATTCTCCAGAAAGATGGCTCTGTCTTCTCCATGTAGTCACTACTGCACAGTTCCCAGAAATAGCAAGAGAGAGCAAGTTGCAATGAACAAGTGTTTTTCAGGACTTTGTTTGCATCATGTGTCCTAAATTCCCATTGGTTAAGCAAACCCCAAGGCTGGCCTAGAATCAGTGAAAGAAATAATTTATGGCATTTTTTTGGTAATTTATCACAATCATCGTTGTTATCATCATCACAGAAACCAATATTTTTGAGCATTAACTGAGTGGCAGGTACTGTTCCAGTCCTATTATGTTTATTGAAGCTTGTAAGTCTTCCCACAACCTTATGGGGCAGAAACAATTATATCCCCACACTGGAGAAAGGGAAACTGAGGCACAAAATAACAAATGTCCAAGATCACACAGCTGGGAAGCAGAGGTGCTAGAATTCAAGCCAACACTCCATAGCCATGTTCGTAATGACCATTCTATACTGCCTTCTCTTACCACTCTATATATGTGGAGTTTCCGATAATTGCTTCTCTTTTTAAAAAGTGGATGATCTAATAAGTGGTTATAGCCTCGTTTTAATATGTTCCCTGAGCAATTTATATCTACCACCACTTCAATCATGTTTCAGCATTTTTCCAACAAGAACTTGGAATTCGGCTCATCCAGTATTTGTATGACTGTCATGTGTTAGTCCAGACCTTGGTAGAACCTGCTGATCTTTTTCTGGTCTTTGTGTATGTGGTGATGGCAGCTCAGATCTTTATTTTTAGGGCTCTTTGTCTTGAATTTCATCAGAAAAAGTTTGAGAACTTGGAAACAAGTAGCTGATTGCAATGCTGAATGATTACTTAATACATATATAACATTTATATATGTTGGAGGTGAGCTGCACCACCCCTTGAGAGCAGAGACCATGGCTTTCTCTCTGTATCTTTGACAACTAGCACACAGCCAAGAGATGTATTGGAGGACCTCAGCACATGTTTACTGTATGTATGTATAGTCATATCCATAGCCCATCAAGGCAAGGGTCACAAATGCATATGCTAATTGTGCCCAGATATTGGCCAGGTAGGAGAGTGGTGGGAATTGGTGCCAGCTGGAGAACTCATGCCCCATCTAAGGTCTAGCCCTTCATACTACATGGGAATGCTCAGTGTTGCCAGATTATTCCATTTATCAAGAAGATGCTGTAACTTCAGATGTGTATGTAAACTCTGATTTTAAAACGTGTCAAATGAAGCAGATCTTTTGAATAAATCTGGCCCATGGCCAGCCAATTTATGACCCCTAATATTAAGCACTTTTTGGCACCTCTCTATTGTGTTACAACTGTCTTGAAGGCCCAGGGTGGAAGGGCAACCACAAAATAAGGCAGAGATGGAGCAGTGAGGCAGGACTTCAAGAAAAATGGATAATTGCCTGTTTCAGAGTATCCACAGAGGTCAAGGAAATGAGAATAGAGAAAAGGCCATTTGATTAGAGCAAATTACTTGGTACAACACTATATTCACAGGCTGTGTGTTCTTAAAAATACGGTCAAATAACAGGAGTATGAGTACTGCTCAAACACTCTGTTAAGCAAAATAGATTTCTTCACTCTAAACCTTTTAATTGTCTTTAATATTCTAATATGCAGTATAAACCTTCAAAAGGTGAACTATTTACTAAATTTTTTAAACTTGCAGGATCAGTCTACGGCCATACCACCCTGAACGCGCCCGATCTCGTCTAAACTTGCAGGATCAAGCAGTTCTTATTTTATGTTGCCTCTCTAGATGTAATGATTTGAGGAAAACACTTTGGGAAAGTTGGGTAAGGGACTGAATGAGACATCGGGAATCTCTGAAGGCATGATGTGGAGACTGCAGTGTGTAACCTAAGGAGTGAGGGCATCTGAGCCAATGGAGAAGAAGCTTGGCAAGAAAGAAACTAAGTCTACTCATTAGTAACTAAGAACTGTAAGCATATTCACCTCAGTAAAGAAAAACCTTTTTAGTATCATTCCTCTGCTAAAAACAAATAAATAAACAATAAAAAAGTGAAGTGTTCCCACTCATGATGAGTTAAACCTCTTGGTTTGACATTCAAGACTCCTTTGTCAGGCCAACTGACCTTTCTAATTTCTCCTCTGCTCTAAATGCCCTGCTCTGCTCACTGTCCTTAAGATGCATACATTTCCATTCACCATCGCTTACCATGTGAGTTGCCTTCCCCAGCTGCTCCAGTTAGAGTTGTGCCTGTTTTCCAAGGCACAGCTCAAATCTGTTTTTCCTCTGGAGCCTTCTTTAGCCCTCAGACCTCGCAGTGGGTTCTCTTCCCTGAACTTGTAGAGCATTTTCTTCTGAAAGACTTGTTTGAGACTTAGTGTGTCAGAGATTGCCTGTATGATAAGGAGCTGAGAGAAGAAAAGCATGTCTTGAGCTCTGCAGCTGTCTACCCCTCACAATACATCCAAATAAGGTTAGGATGATATTATCTAGCTGCACATAAGAGCAAGGGTATAAACCCCATCTCTGTGAGTTTTGTAGACTGCTCTGTTGTTACATAACCATCTGGTGTTTTCTGAGGATAGAGGAGTCCATTCTCTTCTTGAATGGTAATGAGCATCATTTCTAGATACTAGGCTGAGCACTTTTCATGATTGTCTTGGTGAATCCCACAACATCCCTAAGAAGGGGTATCTTCATTTTACAGAAGAGGAAGCTGTCTCTAAACATTCAAGTCAGCTTGCTCTTGCTTATGCTCATGTGCAGCTCTCTAGCTGGTCAAGGTAGAGCCAGGTGTATAACTCCATGTGCCTGATGCCAAAGCTGAGCTCTTTCTGTCTCAGGACACCATCTGCATGATTGTACTTGCTACCAGAAATTTAATGACAAAGAATTAAAGTCAAAGAATTAACACTTTGCCTTCAAGTGACAAGTATATACTAGTACAAAGGGGAAAGCAGAGTAGAACTCTAGTTAGGGTCAATCTAGTTTGAATAGTGTGGGTATTTTAGGTCCATTCTAAAGACATTCTAAAGAGGACCCACATAGCTATGCAGGGGTCCTCTTGAGTGTCTGTGGGCCCTAATTAAGATGATTTTTGGGTTATGCAGCATCATGGGGACATTCATGGACTGGAGGGCTTAGGAGGATCTTCTCTTCCCTGGCCACTCACTGAAGTCACAAGAGGGGGTGACTTTTATTTCTGCCCTACTGTGAGCTGTTTTGCTTATCACTAGACTGTGAACTCTTTGAGAGGAGAAACTGTCATATTTACCCAGGCCTGACACATATCTAGTATATAAACACATATGTTTATTTGTTGATTTGGTATATGAATAACAAGACAACTACAGCAAGGTGCTCAAGGTGGCATGATAAAAAAAAAACCAACACAATATAGTCTGCCTTTGCCCTGGCTGGGTAGCTTAGATGGTTAGAGTATTGTCCCGATATGGCAAGGTTGCAGGTTTGATCCCCGGTCCAGGCACAGACAAGAATAAAGCAGTGAATGTGTAAATAAGTGGAACAACAAATTGATGTTCCTCTCTTTCTCTCTCTAAAATCAATTCATAAAAAAACTAAAAAATATGTAGTCTACCTTTATTTCTCCATTAAAAAGCTACGTTAACTGATCCCATATATGTTTCTTCCCTGTTGTTGTTTTTTTTATATACAGTACTCAGAAGTCTCTGGCTTCCCAGAGGCCTCGACAAAACCCCAAACCTTTCTGCAATAATGTCAAACTTCATCATTTTCAGACCTCATCTTCTAAATTACAGTAGATTGTGAAATCTTGCGGTACAAGAGGTGTGTGTGACTTTTTGCCCATGCCCCACATCTTTTAATGCTGTTCCTTGCATAGAAAAGGATCTATATAAATTCATATTGAATGATTGCTTTGGAATGGATTGGGATTATGGTTGGGAACCTGTCTTAATAGCTGAATCTCCTTGAGATAATTCTTGGTAAATTCAATTTATAAAGGGAAGAGTAAATTAGGATAGTGACAGAGACAGAACAGGAACAGCAGGCAGGATCAGTCAACTCATTGGATGTGAGAAGTGAGGAAGGAGGAAAAGGATTCAAAGATTTTTATCCACGCTGATGGATTGAAGCATTGTGACCAAGAGAGAAATAAAGAATTTCTCTTTCCCCCATGACTCTCTCATTCTTGCTTCTGTTTGAGCACGTAAGAAAGATTCCTCATGAATGTCAGATTGAAGTATTTCTTGGAGGCAGACAAACCTGAGAAAGTCAAAAAAGGAAAGGTTTGGCATTGTCCCTCTGCAGAAGAGCTTTGCTCTGCTGAGGAGGAGGAGGAGAAATTTGAGCTGAATATATTTTTGGTTGGTACAACTTGTAAGTGCTCTGTTTGATAGCAGGGTTGTTTGAATGGCCTATTTCATAACTACACATAGCTTTCCCAAATAAATGGTGTCTGTAGAATGTTCAGGTTAATACATGAGTCCAGTGCTCAAAAGTGTTTGTGCTTAGAGCGACAGAGCCTTCTTTCTTAATAAGTCATCTTGGCATTTTGTCAACAAGTTAATTTGCTTTTCTAAGAAACTAGATTAATACTTCCTGTACTTTGTGCTATTCACAGATCTACAATGCAGTGAGAAGGGGAGAAGAAGCAGAAGATACAATTGGATCTCTTCTTCATTTCTTCACAAAGCTCCCAGTCTCTGAGACAGCCCCTGAAAGGATTAACGTTGGTCCCTGCTTAAAGCAATGTGTCCGAGACACCGTATGTGAGTATCGGGCTACCCTCCAAAGGACTTCCATATCTCAATACATCACTGGTTCTCTCCTAGAAGCAACCACATCTTTAGGAGCAAGAAGTGGCCTTCTCAGTACTTTTGGAGGATCCACCGGACGAATGATGCTGAAAGGTATGTCTGAAATTTCACTTTTAACTTCTTGTCTTTGAGTGAAGAAAAGAATCTAATATTTATACATCTACTGATGAAAAACTGAGTTCACTTTTCAGCAACTTTAAGTAAAGGTAGCTGCTTTAAGAGAATATAAAAGGGCAGTTCTTTATCAAAATCCCTAAAGGTGTAAACATTCCAAAAAATAATCATTAAGATTTCGATTTTTTTCAAAAGAAGTAAGTGGTTATAAAGCTATCTTTAGTTATTCAGACAGGTGATTTCTCTTAGTGTGGTAGTCCATAACACATGTCAGCTACTATGATAAGGTGACCATAAACAAGTGTGGTCACAGTGAAAACAGTGGTTGGGAACAGAATAAAATATACAGGGTGGACCAAAAGTAGGTTTACAGCTGTGAGTACATGAAACAGTTTATTCTTGCATTATTTATTAATTATTATATTATTTTCCATACGAACAACTGTAAACCCTTTTGCCCCTCCCTGCAGTTCTCCTTCCTACACATAATCAGTAGGTTCATGTTGACCAGAAAAGCTAAAGGCCATTTCCAATGACTTTTATTTTAAAAGATGGGATAGTTAGGCATTCTCTTGACAAATAAAAGCTGATGGAAAACGGGGTCCCTCAGCATCAGAACTTCTCAGCTGCTTCCCACGAGTAGCAGGCAGGCAGGTCAGAAATGTCAGGGCACCAGGCCCTTGGAGATTTGTGCACTGCACAGCTGTCATAACCTGCTTGGCAGCCTTTCCTGGCAGGAAGCTGCCAACCAGACAGGGACCACATAGAACACTGACAGGGGGCTGCCAAGAGCTCAGTCTGACATCGACCATTTCTTTCTAGGAGAATAGTTCTTGTCCCTCCACAGCAAGCCCCAGGCCTGTGACTAGCAGGCCAGTGGCCTTCCTCCTTGATCCCCACAGCCACCCTGTACACACGCACCTGGGGCAGGCTGAGAAGAGGCATCTACTTCTCTGTGTAACGTGTGAGTGCCATGTTGGTTAGTTTTCAGGAGTCACTTTAACTTTTGCAGATTGGCTATAAATGATCATTGAACAAACAAAAGATGTAGAATCACTAATTCACAAGACTAAAGGGGAAAAACTTGATGTCATATGGTTTTTATTTATTCAACATGTTTTTCAAGCCCCTATCAGGTATTTGGTGCCAGGTTCTAGGTAGGGAACAAAACATAGTCGCAGCTCTCATAGAGCTTATCGTCCCTGGGTGGTAAGCAGTTTCTCCATGCACAGGAGTCAAGATTTCTCTACTCTGATGTGGCTCCCAGTGACCACCACAGCTATGTTTTTCATTAGTACTCTTCTTAGGAAGTTGGCCTGATATTGGCATGTGGAGGTGGCATTGCTTCAATGCTCGTGACTCCATGTGGGGACCTCATCCTGTGAGTTAATCAACTGTATTTATGAGATACCACTCAGTGCTCAGCAATGTATAGGTTTTACAGGAGATCCTAATGAAGTGCAAGTCAATTTACTTGCCTTTAAGTTGTTTATGATCCTAATGAAGTGGCCAGATTTGCATGCATCAGGTATCCAGAGCATAATGTGAGACTGTGGAGCGCTAAGTGCCAAAGAATGTGGAAGGGGCTCTTAATGTTCTAAGAGTTTAGAGAGGCAGTTAATATCTAATGTGACAAATGGTTTGGCCTGAAATGTGAGGCCTCAAATAAACAAAAAAGAGTCAATAAAAGTTAGTTTCTTTCTTCTCCATTAATTGCAAAGGAACACATCTCCAAGACCAAGACAGGCTACTTGCAGTCTTACATAGACCTTTGGGGAGAAAAATGGAGGTTGCTGGTTAGCATGTCTTTTGCCCTGGTAGTAACTTGACCTCAGTTGCTATTTGCACTTACTTTTTCAAATCAGAACTTCTTGGATGAACACTCCCAGTTCTGGGACTCATTGGACCCTCAGCTAATGTGTTATATCTAAATTGGTGTTTTATGCAAGGGTTGGGGGTTTCGTTAACTTTCTGTGTTGCAGCTCAATAATGGTATCCATCTGTAAGTAGCTTTTGCTAATAATATAATTAGCTGGTTGGCTTCTGCTCCAGGCTTACTTCTGCAGCTCTGGCTCATTCTCTTGGAAACCTTTTTTAACTTCAGTGCAATCACTATGGGGTTTTCAAAATCTGTTATGTGCCATAGTGAAACATGTGTTTCTTCAAAATACAGTGGAAGAAAATGCATCAAAAATTATATGGACAGTTGAAATCATGGAGTGTTATAGAATTTGTAAGTTTAGCATATTGACTAGCTGGGTCTTGAACTATGTTGGCCATATACTCTGTCAGTGGGACTGGACAACATACTGGCTGCTGTGACTTGGTTGTGTGCTTCTTTTATTGTTCACTGTGTGTCCTGTGGAATTCATTGGCCAACAGCTTTCAGCTGTGTATTGCTAAGGACAATCTATGGGAAGTATATAACACTCACTCAGTCCCCCATTTATGAATGGCTTATATCCCAGCAGTTCAGTTCTCAGGAGCTGTGTGGAACTTAGAACACTTTCCTAGGGAACAGTATTAAATGTTGTGATCTGGTTCACAGACTAGTTTCAAAAGCCTCTTTAATGTGTAACAGTTGAAATCTGAATATATGGGAAATCTTCCTAAGGAATAAAGAGAAAAACACCATGTTTAGAATATTGAGAATCAGCCTCCAAGGAAAAAGCAATACAAGTGAGAGAAAAAATGTTTCTTGTTGAAGGGAAATAATTTTAACTAAGATGCATAGAAAGTTAAATGTAAACTTTTATGGAGATTTTGACAAGAACTTTGGGCCATTTCAGAGATTTTAGATGTTGGCATCTGTAGTTCTTTTGTTACAGTTAATTACATGTAGATACTCATACCTCCATGAAAGAATCAGAAAGTTATCCCAGTAACTTTCTTCTCTTTTTCGTTTTCTTTTTTTAATGAGAGGCTTATAAATGGAATGGAGAAGGGAAGGTGGGGGCTGGGAAGAGTTTAAAATTTCTTTCCCAGAGGGAAAGGGTAAGGAAAAAGGTGAAAAAGAATGACCTCTTCTATGAGAGATCATGTTGGAAGTAAATTACATGGATTTGGAAAAGTGGGGAAAAGACAAATACTGGATGATTCTATTTATATAAGGTACTCAGAATATTCAAAATAATAGACACAAAATAAAAGGTGGTTGCCATGGGCTTGTGGGGGAGAGTGAATGGGGGGTTAGTGCTTAATTGTTTAATGAGTATAGAGTTTCCATTTTCAAAATGAAAAGAGTTCTGGAGATGGATGTGTTGTGGGTTGCAGAACAGTATGAATGTGCCTAATATAACTGAACTGTACACTTAAAATGACAAGAATGATAAATTTTGTGTTGTATGTATTTTAGCACAAAAAAAGAATAAAAACATTTTAAAAGGAAGAAGAACACGTTATGTAGGTATTTGGTCCCTGGTCTATTAAGATGTTAGAACCAAGGCTGGCCGCTGCTATTGCTGGGCCTGGGGCAACTTCCCTAATTTGGTGAAGGAAATAGACATGCAGGTCCAGGAAGCACAAAGAGTTCCAAACTAGATAAACCCAAAGAGGCCCACACCAAGGCACATCATAATTAAAATGCCAAAGGTTAAAAGACAAAGAGAGAATCTTAAAAGCAACAAGAGAAACGCAGTTAGTTCCCCCAAGAAAACCCCCATAAGACTGTCAGCTGATTTATCAAAGGAAACTTTGTAGGCTAGAAGGGATAGGCAAGAAATATTAAAAGTGATGAAAAGCAAAGACTTATAACTGAGATTACTCTACCAAGCAAAGCTATCATTTAGAATTAAAAGATAGATAAACAGCTTTCCAGACAAGAAAAAACTAAAGGATTTCATCACCACTAAACCAGTATTATATGAAATGTTAAAGGGTTGTCTTTAAGAAGAGGAAAATAAAAAATATGAATGATAAAATATATATATATATATATACATATATATAATTGAATCTAAAAAACAAAACAACAAACCATAACAGAAACAAAAAGAGAATCATAGAATGTTTTGATGGTAGGGGGTTGGTGGAAAGGCTATAAAACGTGAAAGGATTAAGAAGTAAAAATAGGTAGTTACAATGGGGATGTAAAGTACAGCATGGGAAATAGAGTAGCCAAAGAACATACATGCATGACCCATGGACATGAACAATGGTATGGGCATTGCCTGAGGGAGTGAGGGTAGTGTTAGATGGTGGGGAGCAAAGGGGGGAAAATTGGGACAACTGTAATAGCATAATCAATAAAATATAATTTAAAATATAAAAAATAAAGAAGATATTAATTAGAATCAAGGTTGTGCGAAACAAATACAAACACAGACAGCTTTTCATATGACCTCCAGGTGGCTCAAGTCAACTTGTCTTCTGGAAGTGGTTATGATTAGAAAGTGAGGATTAGAGCAGACTGCAGTAGGTGAGAATAAGAGAAGGAAATGTCCAGCCAGTTGTCCATTATTCACAAGGCATTCACAAGTCAGGAAGTGGTAACTCAAGAATTCATTGACCCGAGTTCTACAGCCTTGCAGCTTGACTGGATTCTGCTAACTCTTTAACATCTCCATGAGCTTATACACCTCCACAATCAGTACCCCGCATTCCCAGTTTTATGCTTTCAGGACTACCAAGGATGGTTTGTCTACTGAGTTAAAAGTTTGCCAAATAACGAGAAACATTTTCTTTTTTTTAATTAATTAATTTTTTATTGATTATGCCATTACAGTTGTTCTATTTCCCCCTTCATTCCCCTCCACCCTACCCCCCGTCCCCACCACTACCCCCCCTTTAGTTTATGACCATGTGTCTCAATTCTTTAGAGTCTATATTTCCCATACTATTCTTGCCCTGCCCCCTATTTTCTACATACTGTCTATGCTACTTATTTTCTGTACCTTCTCCCCCCTTCTCCTCCTCCCACTCCCCAGTTGCTAACCCTCCTTGAGATCTTCATTTCTATGTTTCCACTCCTGATCTAGCTG